CGAATGAGTCTAATTCCAGATTCTCTTCAATGGGTCTTGTTAAGCCTTTGATAGATTAGAGAGCCCTTTCCTGTTAGAGGGCCCCTGCTCTGATCGGTGCTTGTGAATGACAACAGGAGCATGGAACTAGAAGGGACAGCTTGGGCCATCAAATCCCATTTCCCTGCAATTGCTGGCAATGATGTTATAAAGTCCATTTCAAACTCAATCTTAAAACTAATTGCATACCTTGCCCCCAACGCTCCTCTCAGGAATCTGTTCCAGAACAACATTTCTCCCACTGTTAGAAACCATCTGATTTCCAGCCAAAAGTTATTTGTGCCAACTCATACCTCTTTGGTTTTGTGCCAGTACAGACTATTATCTGAGGCCGTTTTCCTCCTTTCTTGGTGCTCATCTGCCTGTGCATTTGGAGAGCAGGGACATGCTCTCCAGCTCCCTTCCCTTGGCCAAATGCAGCCAGGCCCCCTCAGATGGGCTCTGCAGTCTGAAGATGCCCTCGGAGCGCTCCTCTCCCAGTTTCTGCTCCTGGAGCAAAGGTGTGAGAACACTGGAGCAGCAAGTGCCATGTGTGAGCAGTGAGCGTGCCAGCACTCAGTCATCTCAGCCCTGGAGTGGAGTTGTGCTTGCCCCATGACCAGGCCACTCGCCCTTGCCCAGCTCCAGCTGGGCAGCAGCGCCTCTGAAAGGCCTTCCCAGCCCAGCGAGTGTCACCCGTGCTCCAGCTGCAGCCTGGGCACCAGCACTGCAGCCAGAGCCTGGCAGCTGCTGCAGGGCAGGGCCCTCAGCTGCCAGCCATGACTCACTGTCATGTCCCCATAACCAAGGTTCTGGGACAAATCCCAGCGCTGCTGTCCCTGTGGGGATGAGAGCAGCACAGGCACATTGCCCAGGTGGGGCAGCCATAAGTCACTCCAAGTGACTGAACTGAGAAAAGACTGCGTGCCAGGGGTGGCTGCTCCGTGGCTGCCCAGATTCCTTTCCCTTTGTCAAAACCAACTGATCTTGATCCCTGCCGAAATGTGGGGCATGAACTAGGTGATCTACCCAACCAACCCACCCAGGGAATTCTCAGCTGGCCCTGCTAGCTTGGCCTCTGCTGCCTGCCTGGAAGTGCTCCCATTGCTAATTGATGTGCCTTGCAGAGGCAGGTATGCAGGGTAAATACAGAAGCCTTTAAGAGCAGAACTGTCAAATAAAGTGTTACACTCCATCAGCTCCTATTGCATCCATGGCTGAACAGCACCAGCCAGCATTGGATAACACTCAGATCTGCTCATGGATGCGTTTGACATCCACGCGGGAGAAATACACACTCTGTGATGAATCAGGAGCCGGAGCCCAGCAGCAGGCATTTAAGGATGAACCATTTGTTTTAGAGGGCTTCACATTCCGGTTATAAAATTTCCTCTGGGCTGGAAGCTGGTGCCCCAGAAGAAATGGTCTCTGTGTTCTGTGTGGTTTGCTGTAAATCCTGTTGGCCTCCTGTGCAGCGCGTCATGGGAGCTGGAGCCACAGGGATGTCGGGCTGGGGCATTCTGCTAAGCACTGCAGTTTGGGTGTGTTCTCCGTGTCAGAAAGACCAAAGCACTGTGACTTCATTAAATAGAGTCTAGTTTGAGGTTTGTCTTAATTTTGAAACTGAAAACTGTTTGGGTTTTGGCTTGGGTTGAGTTAGGGTTTTTTGATATTGGGAAACTCAGGAGCAGGCTTGTGCTGCCAGCAGGCTCTCTGTGGGTTCTCCAGTGTGGAATAGACATACCTCCATGTATGAGAAGGATTCATCTCTCTCAAGGTAAATCCATGCATAGCAGAACAATTACACGAGAGGCCGTGTGTATGTGCTGAGCAGAGCAGCCGAGTGAGCCTGCTCTGCCAGGGCCTCCTGGGAGCGTCCGTCTGTCCCCAGCCCTGCCGTGTGACCCACGCTGCACCCACTGGCATTCTCGTTCCAGGTTCAAGCCTGGTGTCCGAGTTCCGGCAGCCCTGCTGTGGGCTGGGGCAGTCCAGGACAGGCCCTGTGCTCCCCTGGTCAGGGCCTGGGGCATGCCCGGGGCCGGGAGCTGCTGCTGGGGCAGCCGTGCCGCTCCTGCAGCGCCAGGCAGGGACGTGAGGCTGCGCTCCTGTCAGCTCCTGTTAGTCCCCAAACGTTCACATTACTGTAATGCAGCTGGAAAGGAATCCACGAGTTACAGAAAATGATTTACGGGACACAAGACACTGCATTTCAGAGGTCTCATGTGTGCCATAAAAAATATATTATGAAGGAATTATCTCCATTGGAACTGGAGCTACACAGGGAGAACACATGTCCAGCTGAGAGCAGCATTGAGCTTTTGTTCATTATGGGAAACATTGGTGCTTTTCCTCCTTTTTTTATGAGTACATTTCTCAGCTCTGGGTAGCTACCTAACACTGGCACTTCACTTTTTCCAAATATTGCTTTTGCAATGAGACTGAGCGTAGCTGGGAGCCCAAGGGTGCATTGCTCTGTGGAGCTGGCAGTCCTGAGGGATTTAGGTCAGGCGAAGAATAAAGTCAGGGCTCTGAATTTTAGGAAAGCAAACTGCCAGCTCTTCAAGGAGCTGGTCAATGAGACCCCTGAGAAACTGCCCTCGGGGACCAGGAGCAGAGCAGAGCTGGAAGGTCTTTAAGGGCACTTTCCATAGAGCACAAGAGCTCGTGATCCCCAGACACAAGAAATCGGACAACAAAGGCAGAAATCTGACATGGCTGAGGTGGGATCTGCTGGTCAAACTCGAGGGGAGGAAGGAAATGCACAGGCAGTGGAAACAGGAAGAGTTATCATGGGAAACTGCCCAGGTGTGTAGGGATGGAAGCAGGAAGGCCAAGGCTGGAGCTGAGCTTGGCCAGGGACATAGAGAATAACAAGAAGGGCCTCTACAGATATGTCAGCTGAAAAGGGAGGTCAGAGAGAGCAGTGACAGCACAAGGGGAAATGGCTTCACACTTAGAGAGGACCAGGTTAGATTGGATATATGGATATGGAAGGAATTGCTGCCTGTGAGGGTGGGCAGGCCCTGGCACAGGTGCCCAGAGAATCTGTGGCTCTCCCTGGATCCCTGGGAGTGTTCCAGGCCAGGCTGGATGGGGCTTGGAGCAGCTTGGGATGGTGGAAAATGTCCCGCCCATGGCAAGGATTGGACTCTGTGACCTTGAAGAATCTCACATTTCAAAACATTCCATGATTCCACGTCCCCTATGCAAGAGTAAGGTTTGGAGATGGGTTTCCCCTGTAAAACCTGGGCAATTCCTGGGCTTCCCCTGCAAAACTCATCAGCTCATCAGCTGGGGGAGCAAGAGGAAGCTCTGCCAGCTCTCTCCCATCCAGCCTCGCCCAGAGCATCTCTGTACAATCCAGTAGTTCCCCAGACTGGTGAGTGGACAAGTGTCACTGCCTCCAAATTCTGGTCCTGCTCACAGGCAGGATGAGTTACACGGCATTCACAGATGCACAAGGCTGGAGACACAGCCTGCATTCTCCCAGGGCTGGCTCAGACGTGCAGCTGTGGCCCTCGTGGGTGTGAACACAGAGCTGCTCTGCAGCTTTTGCCACTGGGGTCGGTGCTGGCTCTTTCTGGGATCTGCTGCCCTCAGGTAGTGCTGGCAGGTGCACAAGGTTACATTGCTGCTCGTTCATCTGTGAGGGTTTTAGCACATGGCCGTGTTCCTCAATTCATGTACATGGCACTGCCAGCCTTGTTCTGCTGTGGAGCAGGATGCCAAGGGCTGTGACATGCCCCAATATCCCAGGGCAACACTCACGATGGAGAAACTCTGAGAGACAATAATGCATTCCTTCCCCTCACAAAACACATTCTAATGCCAAACCTGAGAACTGGAGGTGGGAAGTGACAAAACGTGGAGCTGGAAAGAGGCGATGGCTGCTCCAGAAAACTGTGAGGAGGGAGGCTGTCAGCCCCAACCTGCTCCACCGAGGCTGGGGACAGAGTTCCTGGAAGAACACCGTGCAAGGGTGTAATTGGCCTCATCTACTAGTGCAGCTCCTGGCACCCAAAATATGAACCCTCCATGCTCCAAATTAAGTTCCTGCCTGCCCCTGCCCACGGTCTGCCACCTCTCCTCAGGATCCCAGGGGAAAGCAGGCTGCCCTGAGAACCTGTCCCAGATCCCCATAAGGCCAGAACCAAGGGGCCCGGGCCGTGCTGCGTGGGGCTGTCCCGGAGGATCTGTCTCTTGGCAGCTGCAGGCTGTGTGCAGGAGCCATGGGCTGGGGACAGAACAGACCGCGGGGAGATGGAGGGGAGCAGGGCAGGACATGGGGCCAAGGAGCTGTGGCACGGTGGTTTTGCAGGGGAAAGGAGGAGGATTTGTAGGGTACAGCTGACACCGGCCCTGTTTCTGGGGCCGAGCGGGTGCGGCCCGGCGGGCGGGTCTGGGCCGCAGATGGGGCAGGAGCGCTGCGGGGCGGCCGAGGGCTGGCGGCGGCGAGCAGCGTGTGCCGGCGGGACCGCGGCAGCGGGGCCTGCCCGGGCAGGGCGTCTCGGGGCTGCCCGGCCGCGGCTCCGCGGTGCTGCCCGGCCCGGGGCTCTCCGGTATCCCCGGCCGCTGTCCGCGGTGCTGCCCGGCCGCTGCTCCGCGCCGCCTCCGCCGCCCGGCCCGGCCCGGCCCGGCCCGGCGCGCTCCCCGCTCTCCCCGCGCTCTCGGCATCGGCGGCGGCGGGGGCGGGCCGGGCCCTCCCCGCGCCGGGAACGCGCTCCCGCCTCCCACCCGGCACAAAGTTTCGCGGCAGGAACTCGGGCGGCAACAGTGCGGAGCCGGTGGCACCGGAGCGCGGCCGCGCGGAGCCCCAGCGCCCCGGTACCCGGCGGGGGCCGGCGGCGACCGTGCCATGCGGGGCCCCCCCCCACCGGCGGCGGCGGGGCGGGCGGGCAGCGGCGCCCCATGCGGCTGGGGCGGCCGGGCGGCGGCTGACACCATGTGCGCCCGGTGCCCGGGGCGAGGAGCGGGGAGCAGCCATGTCCCCCCCCGCCCAGCCGGGGGTGCCGGGCGGGCGCGGCTCTAAGGGGCCCCCGGCGCGGAAGCTGCTCTGCATGTGCAGCCTCTCCCTGTGCCTCACCTACCTGTGCTACAGCCTGATGGGGGGCACCGGCCCGGCCGCCCTGCGCTCCCCCGCCGCGCTCCCCGCCTCGGCGGCCCCCGGGGCCCCGCGCTCCCCCACCGCCTTCCCCGCCACGGCGGCCCCGCGCTCCGCCGGCGCCCCGGGCCCCTCGGCCGCTCCGCCGCGGGCCTCCAACGGCAGCCGGGAAGGGGCGGCGGACACCTGGCTGCGGGCGCAGCTGGCCCCCGGGGAGGTGATCACGGCGCAGAGCGGAGCCTTCGAGAGGGACCCGCAGGAGTCGAGCACCACGGACGAGGAGCTGAGCCGGGCCGGCAGCCCGGGCAGCCGCGGCGGCGGCAGCAGCAGCACCACGCCGGACTACGGGGAGAAGCGGCTGCCGCAAGCCCTCATCATCGGGGTGAAGAAGGGGGGGACGCGGGCGCTGCTGGAGGCCATCCGGGCGCACCCCGACGTGCGGGCCGTGGGCACCGAGCCCCACTTCTTCGACAGGAACTACGAGAAGGGGCTGGAGTGGTACAGGTGAGGGCGGGGGCTGCGGCGCCATCCGCGGCGGGAGGAACGCGTGTCCGTGCCGGGCGGCGGCAGCCCCGGCGCCGTCCCGGGGGTCCCCGCTGCCCCCGCTGCGAGCCGGGCGAGCTCCGGGACCCCGCGGGGCCGGGGCGGGCGGGTCGGCGGGGCCGCGCCCGGCCGCGGTGGAAAGCGTGCTGTTCTGGGGGGAAAGCAGGAAATCTCCGGTAACGTCCCTCTCGGCTGCTCCGAGTGCGTGAGCATGCCGTAGCAGTTCCGCTGCAGTCGGTGTAAAATACGCCTAAATAGGTCGGTAATTAATAATTACTGAAATAAACAAGATCGCAAGTTATCCAGGTGCTGCTAGGGCTGAAGGATGCTGCCTTCATGTGAGCATAGGCTTTGCTTCACAAATAGGGTTTGCTCTTTATTCAACAAGTTCCACGTTAGGAAGTTTTTTTCCATTGACAAGATCTAATTCTGTTTGTGAAGACGTCTCTAAATACTGTTGAGTAACATTTTAAAGGAATGGGTAACATTTTAAAGGAATTTTATGCTAAAAGTCCTGGTTATTAGAAAACACTGGACTGCAGTAAGGAAGTGTTAAATGTCTTGACAGGTTTAGGAAATCAGTGGATTGTGATGGCTTAGTGTTTTTCTCTCTCTTTAAAAATTTCTGAGCAGAATGCAGCACATCAATAGAACTTAAAAACTCCCAGTAGCTCTGTAGTTCAAAGCAAACCATACTGGTTCTTGATAAAAAGTGGTGTGTGGCTGAGCTGGTGAAGTTCTTGTTGTGGCTAGTATGGCAGCTTTCATAGTTGCTCTGCAAACGAAGCTAAAAATGAGAGGCAGCAGGCAAGTTATTGCCAGGATTATCTGGTCCCTCGTTATTAAAATAAAGTACATGGTCTGTATACCAGGGGTGTTTAAAGGTGACAAACTCCAGGCAGTCTTCTGTGGGGATTGTGGAAGGAAAGTCTTCGTAACACTTGGTGTGGCATCCGCTTGGCTGTGGTGAAATGCTGTGGGATTTTCTGGAGGGATTTCATGGAAGTGGACATCAGCACTGAGAAAGTGAGGGTGTCCCTGAGAGTGTTTTTGGTTTGCTGCTCTGATGGGGGGAAGAACTAAAGGACTGGATATAGTTATTGTGTTTATAGATATAATTTCAGACGCAGTGTTTTGTTGTATTGAATTTTCTTGGAAGAAAGGCTTAACCTTGAAAAATAAGTTTAGAAAACTGGCTAGAAGAGGGTAGAAAGTAGCACATAAAAAGTTTGGTTTCATTTAAAACAGGCAGAAGAAGATCAAGCACTGAATATGATGAGCAGTTGCTTTTTCATCTTTAAAGTTATGCTACTAGAAAAGGGCTAGTGAGTGGGTGTAGCTCCTCTCGTGGAGTAAGAGGCACACACAGGTTTCCATTTGCAGTTTGGTATTTTCTATCCCTGCAGCAGCTCTCTGGGCTGTGCTGCTCATTTCAAGCCCTGCAGCTCTGCTGCTGGGGCAGGAGAGGTGGGAGAACAGGCTGGGGCACCCTCGGTGTGTGAGCTCTGGGCAGAGCAGGCTGTGTGATGTGATGGGTCAGGAATGGCTGCTGCTCCGTGCTGTGTGTGCCCTGCCTGCCTGACCACTGGTACCTTCACTGGGCAGAGCAGGCTGTGGGATGGGTCAGGAATGGCTGCTGCTCTGTGCCGTGCCAGCCCTGCCTGCCTGGCCTGCAGGTACCTTCACACCCGCCCAACACAAACAGGTGCTTCTCCCCCCTCCCTCAAGAGTGCCCAGCCCTGCAGGGCAGGACATTGCTGGTGCTCTGAGCCTCCGCAGCAGCCACAACTGCCCTGGGGCTGTACTGGTGCCAGGCTGTCGTCATGGGCTGGCTTTTAGTGCCACACAAACACAGACCAAGAACAGGATGGGGAAAGCTCACCGTCCATCCCAGCAGCTGCTTCTTCTGACCTCTGAGATTACCTGACTGAGTGCACTAGGGAGGCTGACAGCTCATAGCTGTGTCCCAGGTAGAGTAATTAGAGGTTTTTTTCCTGTCCACAGAAATGTCAATGTCTTTTTGGCAAAGAAGCAACTGTTGAAGTCACCTCCTTATGGTGACTTCTGCATTACACACTGTGAGCTTTTAACACGGTCAGATTTTTTCTTACATAGTGAAAAAAGGGAATGGCAGACCTTCAGGGTTCCTTGCTTAGTTGTTCAGTCACCAGGTTATCTGCCAGCCTCGAGGGCTGGAGGAAAGGGAAATGCCTTCTCCACCATGGTTTCTCCTGTGAAATGGAGACGGTGCCAGGGCTTTGCCATTTCTTTGTGTGCTCCATGCTGCTTCACCTGTGTCTTTGCTGCCTTGAGACTGAAAAGCCCTAAACGCTCTGGCTGTGTGGTCCAGGATCTCTCTCAGGGGCTGGAGCTGCTGCAGGCACTGGGCCGGGGGCTGCCAGCTCTGTGCTGCTGGGGACAGGGTGCCGTGCAGGGTGGCAGTTCCACACTGCTGGCTCTGTTTTTTGCTGGCAGCCTGTAGGGAAAGCTGAAGGTTTGTGTGCTGTCTCTGATCTCTTTAGCTCAGTTCATGCGCAATTGCAAACAGAGGTCTTTCCACACACAAACTGGTGCAAACTGGGCCAAGATTAGTTTTGGTTAGTTTCTGTTATGCTGCCAGGGTTGTTTGTGTGGCTGCAGTTTATGGTTCTGTCCGTCCTAATGCTGGGCTGTCTGAAAGACAAGTTCCATGGTACAGCTTTCCTTAAACGAGATCCAGGCTTCCTCTGCTGTTCTTTGTAAGCCGTTGTCTTTAACTTGCTCCTTCCCTCCCCAGGATATGCCAGCTTTCCTGCAGGAGCTGCTGCTGGTTTGTAGCCAGTGTCCAAGCGTCCCCCTGCTCTCTGCCGTGCTCAGGCACGGGGATCTCCACACGTCCCCCACGGCCAGGCTGGACTGCGGGCATTTGCTCTCTCCAGTGTGATGCTCATGCCTCAGTGGGCATGGCCTGTGCCAGGAGCTCTGCCCTGAGCTATCCTGCGTTTGGGAAAGCACTGAGAGCCTTTCTCAGAGCACAGAAAGGATGGCAGAATGACACAGAGGCCTCTGAGACCAGGGAACGGAGATTACATCCATAAATGCTCATTACAAGCGCAGGCACAGCATTTGGGACATGTCTGAGTTCCCTGCCTGCGCGTGGATCAAGGGCACACAGCTGTGTGGGGATGCTGTGGATGGTGGGAGCTGCAGGCTGCCTGCAGTGCCTAGCACCTGGGCAGGTTTGTCTCCTGGTGCTGGGGGCCTCGGTTCAGTCTCAGAGGGGAGAGGGCCCAGGGAGGGGGGCAGGGTGCGCAGGGCAGCCCTGCAGCCGCTGTGGGGCCGGGGGCTCTGTGTCACTGGGGAAGGAGGGGAGGTGATCCTGCCTGCAGGGTCAGTGGCACGCTGCCCTGCACCTGTGGGTTCACCCGTGCAGATCCAGTGCCTGGGGGTGCTCAGATGCTGCTGGTGACTGCTCTGGAGGTTTTGGAAGAGAAATGCTCAGGTGACTGTGTGAAGGGAGTGGGAGCCCCAAGCCATGGGGAGGGCTTTAGTTGTGTCTTTCTGCTGGTGCAAATGACCAGCACAGGAGAGTTCATCACCTGGGCACCCTTGAGGTTTTGTGAGCTGAGTGGAACAGCCCAGTGCTCCCAGCCACCATCCCCAGCTGTCTGCAGGCTCAGCATGGTGAGGGGGTTCAGTTCTGTCACGTTACCCTTTCAAGGCTATCTTGACATCCTACCTTTAGCAGAAAAACTGGGGATTTGTAACAATATTTTGAAAACAAACTTGTGGTTTTAAAACAAATATAATTTCCATAACACAAAAAGGACACTTGATAGTGGTGAGTTGAAATTGGATTTTAGGGTTTGCTGGTTGGAAGAGTTAAATGCTGTGTGTACATGCACGTTTCTTTACTCCTTGCTTCCTCCTCAGTGGAGCCCTCATGGAGAGGCTGCAGCAGTATCTGTGATTAGATCGCATTCCCCTCTCTGCCTGGTCTCCAGTGCTGAGTGCTTGGACGGGGTGTAGCTGTGTGTGTGGAGTGGCCCGGCTGCAGGAGCAGTCACCATGACAGGAGTGGAGTGGCTTGCATGTCTAATGCTATTTGCACTGCTTGTCTGGGTTTTTGGAGTGTTCTCCCGAGCAGTCAGGCCTGCGTGTGCTTTGGTGAGCTGCTGGCCTCATACAAACAATGAATAATGCCATGACAGGAGCTCTTCCCTCAGCAATAAGCACGTGCTCAGGGTGAGCGGTTCCTGCAGCCGCGGGCCGTGCCTGGGAGCTGGCACTGCCAGTGCCGTCCCTGGGGATGCTGAGCTGGTCTGTGTGGGGCAGGGGGCTGTTGTGTGTTGCTGTTTGTGCCACGGGCTCTGCTCCCCCCGGGGCCATCTCACCCTCCTTCCTGCGCTGACCTGGGGCAGTGGGGCCAGCCCTGCGTGCCCGGGGACGATCCAGCCTTGGCTCTTGCTGCCATGGCTGCTGGCAGGAATTGTGTCCAGGGATGCGTGCGGGGACCCTCCTCCAGCGTCCCCTAACAGCTGCTGGGCAGCAACAGCCTGGGGCCATTTCAGCCTCATCCCACACAGTGCCACCTCACAGCTGTGAGCTGTACCTCGCTGTGAGCTGTAATTGTGTTGCTGGCTAATGCCTGCGCTGTTCCGATCAGCTCGGGGCATTCAGGAAATCAAACCCTTTCCATCAGCGCTGTGAGCCTGTGCCGGCGGCACTGTGGGAACACCTACAATGGAAGGATGGACTGGGGTCTGCTCTTGCCCACAGGCACAGCTGCAGAGCCTGGGAACCGCTGTGTTTCTCTGCAAAAGGCCTTCCCAGAGTGCTGTACCCACTGCACTTCTGGTAACTTAGGGAAAGTGTATTGATTTTGTTTCTGGGCCCTGCTGTGAGTTGGTTTTGCTGAAATGTAGTGACTCAGCTGCCTCTCTCCTCTGTGGATCCAGTGTATTGGACTTTGCTGACACCTG